GTACTCTGATTTGATGGCTTGTGCTTAGAAGGAATTTTTCCACACAAGATTTTCTTTCCTGCCTTTATATCCGTGAGTTTGAAAGTTTTTCAATGTGATGGGGAGGAAAAATGGTTACTCTTCAAAAAAAAAAAAAAAAAAAAAAAAAACTCCATGCTAAAGCCCTGCTGAAAAGTAATTGATTATGCAGTCAGAAATTTGCTGATAAATGCACTATATTACTTAATTGGTGATATGTTCTGTGTGGAGCTGTCCTTGGATTGGGTTCAAAAACTGCAGTTAGTGCAAAATGTGACAGTTAGGGTATTCCCTGGGCCACCCCACTGTGCCCACATAAGCCCTGTGCCCAAAGAACTGTGCTGACCTCCTGTCAGCTGTTGAGCCATCTTCAGTGTTCTGCTATTGTGGTACAATCCCTAACCTTGCAGAATACTTAGCTAGACTAGAATGCCTTGTTGGTGGGCATTCTTGGTAGCAGTGCCTAGTCTGTGGAAAAGCCTGAGCAGTTTGGAAGGCAGAAAACTTGGCATCTTTTAAATGCCTCTAGAAAATATGCTTGCAAGGCTTTCCCTGGTCCATAATCAAATTGGCCATGCTGTTCCATTTTACTGTTCTTGTGCTGCCCTATGTTGTTGCTGCAATTGCTTTTGAATTATATTTTAAATGTGTTTTTAATATTTGTATGGCAGCTTTTAAGAGATTTTTCTTAACATTTTTCTTACTGTACCAATAAATTAATAAAATAATACTTGTCTGATTTAAAAATGTTCATGATTTCATTTTACGGAATGCATATCCTATATTGTTTTTCTGCTGGGCTGTTCCTTTTTATGAATAGAGTAGATAAACAGTAGAGATAAATTGTAATCTAAGCAGTCACTCTGCTGCATTTTGTAGTATCAATTTAAGGCTGCAGGGCTTGCATAGTCTTGCTGGCAGGTAGAAATTTGAGACTCATTTTAAATGGTGATTGTTTGCTGCAGTTTTTGGAATTCTGATGCTTGAAACACTGTAGTAATCTTTGTTCTGCAGAAGAGGTACAACAAATGTTGACCCCTCTTACTCCCATTCAATTTGCACTGCATATGGGAAGTTGGTGGATGAATTGTATATGTGTTGTATATGAATTGTATATATGAGCGGCGGGGGGGGTTGACAAGAGGAGCATGAGTTTGCAGATATTTTCAATGCTATCGTTGTATAAGAGATATAAGATCTTTGGGAGAGCTATAGAATCCTAGATTTCTAGCCAGTTTAATGAAGCTGGGTATATGAAGCACAATCCATTCCAATTTTGGACAGCAGTATAGCCTTTGCCGTAAAACAAGGGGAGCTGTGGTGTCAGGTATACATTCTGAAATGCATTCGTCAGACTATTAGTGGACAAATTCCATGTAAGGACAAACCTAATACCTTACAGTAAATTGGAGGTACTTTGTGAGGTAGCACTTAAGTTACCATCCACATTTGGATGATTCCATCTCAGATTTATAAACTGGGATATGAATGAATGTCATGGCCTCTTACTTGGCCATGATGCTCGTGAGGTAGAAAGCATGGTGTAGAATAGTTCACATATCATGGTAAGCCTGAAATTCTGAGAAGTTTGCTTTAACTCTGCATGAGAAAGCATGCTAGTACATGCTGCTCAGTCACTCCTTGTTGATTATTTCCAAGCCAGGATCTCTGACTTGTTAATTTCCTTTAAAGTCACAATCATGTCAAGAACAAACCTTAGACTTAACAACAATTTTGGCTTATAGTGACATGTGAACTGACAGTGAACCCTGGAAGTCTTTCGTTAAATATAGTTTCTGTTAAAGTCTAAACTGGGAAACAGTGGTTAAGCGCTCATGTGCAGTGCAGGAGATTAAGCCAACTTTAGATCATGCCTTATTCTCTGGCCTTTTCAGTAGCTGTTAACCATAGCCTTTTGGCTCAAACTTTGCAGGATTTTCTAGTTTAACCAAAATACCAGGGTGGATTTGATTTTAATTTGATCAATTTGATTTAAATCACTAGTCAGTAAGATTAGATTTAAAGCATGGTTTGCTACATAATTTGCCTGCCTGCGTTAACTTTAGGTAGAGAGACTTCATTAAAATATTTCCAAACTGGGTGTCTTTTACAGCCTGCTGCCATTATGTTTTCTCCTCCAGGAAAAGAATAATATGATAAATCTCAGGCTATTCATAAAAAAGATCCAAAGACTTGTTAAGAATTCTGCTGAAAAGGTGTCAGTTTCATTTTTACTACTTGCCACCCCCCTCTTCACACTTAGCTTCTTGTTCAGATCTATTCCACTCCCAACAATCTGCTTTTCATTGAATTTTCTGAAGCATAGCACTTAAGAAGTAAGGGGTGTACATAAATTTGCAAAGGAACAGTGGGATTGAGGTCTTTTTCTTAACTCGGTGTTCATTTTATAAATTTTTTTGCTGTGAAGAAGTATGTGATCTCTGAAGACACAAATTCACAGTTTTGAGAACTGTAAAATCTAGCATCTGTGATAATATCTTATAGACAGAAAAATTGTCCAATCTTATAGAAACCTGTGGAAGAGCATGAGATTGTGAATAGATTAATGGGATTCATTTACCCAAAAAATTAAATATTGTATGAATATACAGCCTCATACTACATAATTAAAAACTAATCCATATTTCATGATGAATAACCTTTGGACTATAATGTATCCTAAATAGAAAAACATCTTTAAATAGATTTTTCTTCAAAAAGCATTTATTTTTTTAAAAAAACCAAGTTAAATTTTAAAACCCATTTTTTAAAATCATAGATTTTTATCCATCCTTTAAGATGCCCTGCCTTACTCACTTGTGTGAAGGAAGGTGCAAAGCAACTGCATGTGGGCCATTAGGCTTATTCGTACTTCATATTAATATTATCTTCCCCTATGTAATGTCCTCTAAATCTTTTGGTCTACAACTCCATGCATTTCTGACTGTTGGCAAAGTTTGGTGGGCCTTCCGGGAACTGAAATCAAATAATAACCAGTTGGGGAAATATTGCATTAAGTTGAGGTAAGATCAGCCTTACCAGGACTGTGTTTTGCTTTTATCATCCTGGTCTTCACTTCAGGTCAGAATTTTGGAGTCTTTCCTGGGAGCGTAGATTGCCTAGTTTTTGTTATGGAACCCGTCTGGTTGATAAGGTCTTCAGGAGAGGACCTCTTGAGGGCACTGCTACCTGTACAAGCCGCATTTGCTTTGAAAGGCTTTCTCCTGTGTTGTTGTCAAATTGGGCTGCACTTCTCAAGAAAATTGTTGTCCACTCTCTTGGTTTTTAAAAGGGGTGTGAAAGCCTATCTTTAATTATGTAGTTATATTAACGTTTCCTATGTTTAATGATCTTACTGTGTTAAGGTTTTATTGTTTTAATATCACTTCTGTGTCATGGGGGAACAAGCTATATGTGATACTCTATGATTGTTACATTGTCTTGCTAATTTCTAAACTTACAAAATCAGCTTTAATCTCCTTGTCCTTAGGCAAAATCAGAGGAAAAAAGGAAGAGCTACCTTTCATCCTGAGTAGTAGTTATGGACATTAATTTATAATTATGATGATTCCACAATGTTATCTTAATACTATTTCCAATTACCATTTCCAATTACTGCTATTACCTACTTAGTGGTTCACAGTCTCGGGTACAGATAGAACTTCTATCATCCTTAACTTGATGGGAGTTGTATTTCGACAGCATCTTGTCTCCAACAGTTTATATCCTCTGGGAGCATAAAAAGTATTTGAATCAATGTCCTCCAAACCAATAAAGTAAGATAATGTTTCTAAGTAACTTAGTAAATCCAAGTCAGACTGTACATGAGTTGGGAAACTAATGTTCAAAACAGTACGTAGCAAATTGGTTTTATGCTTAGGGTAACTGAGCTAGAGACTTGAAAGCAAACATTAGATGTTTAATATGCAAGTGCTTCTCAGTAGCTTTGACTCATTTGTTAAAATTCTTGGATTTATTTGGATGATCAAAACATTTTTGATGAGAGGAAAGGTAAAATTCAATTGTCAAAGATGATTGAAGATTAATATCTGTGTCTACAATGGTCATTTCATATTTTATGTGCATCTAGTAAGAGAACTAAAACTCAGTTAAGCACAAGACCTCAATTCAGGCATCACATCAGACTACAGACATCCAATAAAGTTGCTCATAAGGTTCCTCAATTCTTACTGAACACACACAGTTTTCTTTTTAAGACACTTCAATGTAACTAAATTTTTACCAATCTTGAATTAAAGGCATTTGAAATAATCATTCTGAATATACTTCTGGTTTTGGTAGTGCTATACTAGTTAACCCTTGATTTTAATTTTGTATGATCACTATGCAAAACATGACACTTGTTTGGAAGTAAGGATTTTCTTTAAAGTCTTTAGGACCCTCCTCCCATGTTCATTTATTCTGATCTTGATTTGTGTGTGTGTGTGTGTTTGTGTATTTATAGAGTAATGCTATGCCCCCCCCCCCAAACATCATCTAGAGAGACAATAGAATAACTTAGATTCCCAGTTCTGAGGTTAGATACATCTCTGATACTGGAAATGGGAATCCACTCCCTGACTCAAGGTACACTCCTATATATATTTAATTGGGACTTAAGAGTGCAGTCCATTTTTCTGTCTAAACGTGTAGGATTACACCCATGGTTTCACTGAACTCAGTGAGAACTTGTTTCTAAGTAGACATCTGAGCTCTTAGTTCTTGGACATATCAGTGCAGAGTTGCATGTGTTGCAAATCCGGCAGAACTTGAACTCTTACTGTTAAAAATAGGTACAGCAAAGACATTACTAAGCTTAAACTTGTTACTGGAAAGCTTTCTCAGTAAGCCTATGATGTTCTGTGTCTCATTGTTGGTACAAAATGACTCCTTATATATGGAAGAATGAAGTGTTTTCGTTGTATAGATTGTTCTGGACAAAATCAGCCAATAACTGTTGTGCTTTCCCTCCTTTATTATAGGGAGATGTGCGAAGTATCATAGTCTCTGAGAACGTGAGCGTTGGACAGAAATTGGACTACTCGGACACAATGGTACAACAGAAGTTGGATGAAGTAAAAGACCAAATTAAACGGGAAATAAGAAAGGAACTTAAAATCAAAGAAGGAGCAGAAAACCTCAGGAAGGTCACTACAGATAAAAAAAACCTAGCCTATGTAGACAATATTTTGAAAAAATCGAACAAGAAGCTAGAAGAATTGCATCATAAATTACAAGAATTGAATGCTCATATTGTTGTAACAGAAACTGAAGATGTTACAGGTATTTGCTCTGTATTATTTTGAAATAAGTATTCATAAATTAATCTCAAATGATTAAGTGATAAACAGTTGCAATGCTCTAATTTTAAAGGCACAATACACATCCTTTTAATAGCATGTTTTCAAATATCTGTGTGCAATTAAATAAACTGTAGCCACCAAACAGAAAACCTACTTAACTATGATATTGTACAGATGGAAATATTAGGTGAAGAAAATAGAGAATTCCTATTATTAAATTGGGTTGATTCCAGTTTTCTTCTGCACTCTATTGTCAGATTTAAGTTGTCGACATTAGTGGCTTGAATGGCATGTATGGAATTCCATCCTCATTCCAAGCCAGATTCTCCTTGTAATGTAACATGATATCTCACAATAGTAGCTCTTCCTCCTATAGTAAAAGAAAAAAGAAAAAAAACAGTTGCCTGGATTGGACTTACCTCTCAGAGCTTAGTTTGTACTCCCTAGTGATTTTCAGAAAGAGGAAATCTTAGTCCTACAGGAGAAACCTTTTGGCTGAGCAGAAGGAAGTGGAATTTCCTGCATAATGGGCTGGAAGATGGAAGGGTTAGAAAAAGCTTGTTTCTGCTCAATTGTAATGCAGATAGCATGTTGCCACTTAATTGCTCTGTGGAGATATAATTCATACTCCCTTAAATCACTGATTAGCTGATGTCTCTGGGAAAATGAAGCAGAGACTAACTATGGATATATGCACAGAGTACTTCAGGAACATGGAACCATACCAAGGAACAAACATGGTCTTTCAGACATTGAAAGCTCAGTTTTGTTGCATTCCTATTTTGTGGAGATGCACCTTTTTTTGTCTCTGATATAGTAAGCCAATTTACATGAGTCAGGAGATCCTGTGGCATTTGCTTGCCTTTCTCCTTATGACCTTGATTGCTTGTGGTGGAGTTCTTACTTCCTGCCGTCATTTTGCCATGCTTCATCTTCCCGGCTTTTCTTTTCTGCTCAGAACAAGGTTGGAGGGGATTTGGCTTCAGGCCTTCTAGGCTTCTGCAAGATGCCTCAGGGCCTCAGTCATGTCCTAAGGCCTCTGAGAAGACTTGTTCTCAGTGTGCACTGCCTTGGTTGTAGAATAACTGTACACATCTGTGTGCAGAGGTGAGAGGATGACATTCAGTTTCCTAAGCAGCAGTGTCATCCTCACCTCACTCTGATGCTCTTTCTCGTTGGTTGGAGTCAGAAAGATTCTGGTGTGATGTTTTATTGACATGGCAAGAATGTCATGTTTTCCCAGTGAAGGGAGGCTGCATCAAATATCATGATTTTATGTTTAGTTTATGATATTTATCTGGGATTACATTTTCCTGATGTGTCAGATTCTGAATTTTAAAATGTCATTTTTGGGGGGTTGGTACTCTTTTGAAGTGGCTGTTGAGTAATAATATCATACTTTTTATGAGAAAGACAAACTTAGGCAGGTCTTTCTATTGTTAATTGTGTAGACGGCTGTGTTTTGTATTGCCTTCTTTGATAAGAATGGCAAAGACTAAGTTTCCAGAAGTCTATGCAGTAGTAAAAGTGTAGACATCTACCCAGCATCTGAGTGTCCAAAACATTGTAGGCAATCCAAAGCAGATTTGTCCAAATTGCAGTTATACAGACTGGTTGGAAAGTACTGTAGTGCCAATACTGGTAATTGATGTACAATCATTAGTAATGATGTATGGAAATGTACAACTTTAGAGAGTGCCTAGAAGAAGGAATCTGAGCTTGCTACCTAATTCTGGTCCTATACCTGTATCACTATCAATTAGAGAAATCAATCCAATCAATTACAATCCTATTTTGTAACCTGATAAACATATCCCTTCCTAATTTGCTAGTGTTGTGGATCCTAGGGGTCAGACATCAAGTGCTTTCAAATCAGCCAGATCAGAAAGTTATGCAGAATGTAATACTGCCAGAACCTAATATCATTAGGTTTCTAAATATAAACTTTATAAAGTACAGTTGTCATATAGTAGTGTTTTAAGTATTTTACTTCCATTGCATTTTTGTCCTAATATCATAGGAAACTATTACAGTTGTTTCAAGAGGAAGATTAGATGAGGGATTGGTATTTAAGTCTCAGTCATGAGGTAGTTTGGTCAAAAGTGGCAGTGTTGAATTGGCCATTAAGTTGCACACATTTTTTGTGGAGACTGAAATTCAACCCATGAAGTAAGCTTATGTTCCATTATAGGATTGCCCATGACTTTAGATTAGTATTTTGAACTTAAATTATTTTTCCCAGCAATCCTTTATGTAAGGTGTAGAAGACAGACTATGCAGTTGGACAAGCAAGAGTATTTCATAAATGGTAAATCAACATTTCTTAGCAGGAAGGATATATTGAAAGAAATTAGATTGCAACAGGGTTTCAGATCATTATTAGCTAAAATATGCAGTTGGGTTTTTTTATTTGCTGTGCCTCAAGTGTACATGCGGACATGCTTTCCAAGACTGATTTGTGTTTGTATTGTGTTTCTTTTGATCAGTGAAGCAAATATAGGAGAAAAGTAAGTTGCTTTGTTCCTTGTAACTTATTCCACATTGTGTAATACTTTTATCTGTACATTTGTATGATGTATACACTCACGAAGCTTGTACAATTCAAACTGAAAGAAAAAATGAGAGATGTGGTGAAAGATGGCAAATGTGACAACAAAATAAGGGCTAACATAGTTTAGAAAATGAATTTATAATGACAAAAAGTAAAGTGACAAAGCAACAGGGTATGAACCCAGACAATAATTTCAAGCATTTTTTTCCTGGGCTGTTAGAACCACACTATAAGAAAGGGGGGGAATGCAAGTTGTTTTATTTTGCCAAATCAGAACTAGCTTTACATCTTGTTAACTATTATTAATTAGTAGGTCTGAGTGTTAGAAGTTACTGTCTTTTAAACTGAATTTTGTATCTGAGTGCTACTGAGATGTTAGCAAAAGTAAGCTGGTATTTAGACCTAAAAGTGAAAAACACATGGTAGTTCTTGTTTATATAGTCCATTCTTATAGTCCAGTTTTTCAAGATCTTTCAGCATTCTCTGTAATAAAGGATTTAAGAAAACATTGCTGAAGAAATTTAGCCTGTATATTCCATGTTATTGGGCATAGCATGCAGGCAGCTAAATTCAGTTAAATAATTAGCAAAAAGTGCTGCTAATTGAACACCATTTAATTCCTGCCATTTGTAAAGCAGAAAAGTGTCTCCAACTTCTCTGACCCTTTGAAAAAGTAAAACATTCAGTTTCTGCATAAATAGCATGGAGGCCAGTGATCCCTGTTGTTGAGAGGGAATTGGCAACAACTGGGGATGTCCAAAAAACTTTGTGAACTGTGGCTCTGAAGCCTCAAAAGACGAGGCATGGAAGTTGTTACGAGTTGCATCCAGTGTTTTTTTTCCACTGATGGAAGCAGTTCTGCCAGCAGAACTGGGAGGGAAGCAATTCCTGCACCCCCACATACCCTCATTTTCTTTCTCCCTCTCTCAGTCCAGTGCAGAGAAATGGAAGAAAGTCCGGTCATGATAGCAGATAGGGACGCATTTCAGCCTATCACTTCTGGCCCTTGGGTGATAATTTGGCACTTACTAAAGGAATATCCCTGCCACCAAGGCAGCAAAGCTGTTTATGTCATTTACTTGAAGTGTGTGGCAAGTAACTGTGGACAAGTAACTGTGGTGACATTTTCCTACTGCCCTGTATCAGGACCTGGAAAGAGCTTTACAGCACTTTCAGATACAGATGGGTTAGGTGAAATGCTTGATTGGCTATATGGAAGGTGTGCTTAAACATATATCAGAGTGGAAAGCACAGTCCAGTAGAGCTGCCTGTACTCTATACCCCAAAGCTTACAGGATTCCTATGAAAGGCTGGAGGAATATGGAGTGAAGGTCATTTCTATGCTTCTCCCATCCTCAGAAATGGCCGATATATGCCATCTAAGTGTTTCACCCCAGTGTTCCAGAAAAGGGAGCCAAGTTGCTGCCAAGATACCTCATATGTCAATGGAACTACTGGAATGATTTCTTGAAATGCCATCTCTGAGGTCACTCTTCTGAGCACAGTACCTCAGCTGGCTCCATGTGTTTGATCTGAGGCTGATGGAGGACACTTAAAGTTCAGAGTCTCAACTCTGACCTCAGAGCAAGTTTTCAGGCTTGGAATTGAGACTCCAAGTTCCCCTGTGGCCATCTAGACTCTCTTTAGCTGGCATATGATTTTGCCCTTATTTAGTTTTGCCCCATTGTCTTTCAGAAACACTAAGCAACAGATTATTTTCATGTTGTAGAAACACATCAAGATTCCACTTCCATTGATAGTATCTCTAACTGTGTGGGGACTTTTTAAGGTCTTCTATCTAGTGGGGTTAAATTATCAAAAGTTAATGGATTTGTTCCTGCCCCCTTTCCTGCTGAAATAATCATTAAATAAGTAAACATTATAAAAGAAACCCAATCTGTCGCTGACAACAGAACTCTTGTAAACATAATAGACAGGCTGCTGACATGGCCTGTGGGTAGTATTAAATTTTAGTTTGTAAAACCTACAACCGGTTCTGCTACTAATTGCTCTTAAGAAGTGTTAAGGAAGTCATTACTGTTAACCAACAATAGCATGGGTTTGTTGTTCTTTTCATCAGTGTGTGCATAGATTTCCCTTAATAGTCACTTAAACAGTGAAATCAGTGCGTTTTTTTCTTTGCCATCTCTAATGTTCCTGGCCTATGTGAATGGCCTGTGCGTTAGATTTGAGACCTGTAGCAAATAGTTACTAGTGCTAGTGATCTGTATGCATGTAAGGAAACACTTTTTCCTAAAGAGAATGATGTGGATCCAGAATTGGTGTCCCAGAAGAGGAAGGGTTCCTTCTAGGAAATCAGATCCAGTAAATGCTGCAATTTCTGGAAGAGGGAAAAGGCTATTTCTTCCTTCTCCCTGCAGCTCCCACATCCACTTTTGACACTGTTCCAGAGGGTTTTTCAGCTTTCC